ATACTAAAATTATTACATTTAAATATGCGTGCAGTTCTGGTTTATTTTAAACCACCGCTTTACCTTCAATGTAAAGGACTTTATTTCAAGTATTGCCTTATACTCATTTGGCAGCAGGTTCCAGAGTTTGGAGCCCTCAACAGAAAAGGCTCTTTGCCCTTGTGTAGTCTTACCAAAATGAATCCTACAATTCCCACCTGCCGAACTCCTAGTAATTCTATTTGTATAATCCTGTCTCTTTATCAATTTACATAAAACAGATGGTGCTGTATTGTGTAAACATTTAAAAATCTATTTTATATATGACAGATTCTTAAAATTTGCAAAACTTAGCATATTACTTTTTTTTAAAACATTGCAGTGATGCCATCGATTTGGCTTTTTATCCATTATTTTTAAGGCTCGATTATACATTTCAATTTTTCTAATTAAGGTATCACTTGTTTGAGTCCAAACTGTAATACAGTATGAAATGCGGGACAAGATCATTGCATGCACAAACAGATGTACTGCCTCAATTGAGATATATTTTCTAATAAGTCTGAAACAGTTTAGATTAAACCTTACCATTTTTGAGAGCTTTTTTATGTTTATCAAATTTAAGTCATGAGTCTAAAACAATACCTAAAAAATTAAACTCATCTACCTCCTCTATTTCTTTATTATTTACTCGAATTATTACTTTTTCTTTTTTCTTTCGATTTGAAAAGCACATAAAGACTGTTTTCTTAACATTCAGAGTAAGATGATTTTCCTGGAGCCATATAGATATCCTTTTCATTTGTTCATTTAAAACTGCAGCAACCTTGGCAGATGACTTAGCCGATGTATAAATAACAGTGTCATCAGCATAAAGCTGACATTCAACATCTGGACAACAACATGGTAGGTCATTTATAAACAAACTAAAAAGCAAGGGGCCTAAAATTGAGCCTTGTGGTAAGCCCATTTTGTTTCTCATAAACAATGATTTTGTATCCCCAATTTAACACACTGATCTCTTAGATTTAAATAAGAGGTAAACCACTCAATTGAACGTTTACTAAAATGAAATGCACTTAATTTAGATAAAAGAATAGTGTGGTTAACTGTGTCAAATGCCTTTTTTAGGTCAATGAATACTGCTCCCATCCCATGTCCCTGATCCAGAGAATGTGTAGCTTTTTCCAAGAAACAGCATATAGCTATTTCGGTGCAATGCTGGGCTCTAAAACCAAATTGATGTATATGTAGGAGGTTATTACTCTCTAGATAGTTTATTAATTGTTCAGCTACAACCTTCTCCAAAACCTTTGACATAACCGGCAAGATTGATATTGGTCGATATAATTTGAAATCAGGCTTGGATCCCCTGATTTAAAGAGCGGTGTAACTACAGCCTTTTTCCATGTATTTGGGGAAAACACAGTCTCTAATTGATACATTTGTCAAATGAGAACTATCATCACGGAGCTATATTTTTTTTATCAAATTAATATCTAAATTGTAAACATCTTTTGCTGTTGAATTCGGTAGAAGCTTTACAATTTCAGTTATTCTATTTTCTTCAATCTCCTTAATATAAAATGAATTTGGTAGCTCATCCTCCACACGCAAACAGCAACTGGCCCCTACTGAGAATAACCAAGTATATTAAAATAAATGATCAATACGCAGATCAATATTGACACACAGCTTGAAAGATTTCTATTTTCTGGTCGTAACAAGTGGTAGGCTAATTGAAATGACCAGGATGTAGGCTACATATATAGACACAGAGCTACAGGGTGGAATCAGCCATTAGTCTTAGACCAGAAGATAAGTGATCTAATGCTGAAACAAACAACTTGTCCACCAAGACCCTATGGATGTAATCTAGGAATGAATGGAAGATGGGCTTTAGAGAACGGCTGATAAGAGCATGTTGAAAGGAGGCATGAATAAGAGAGATCTCCTCGTCTCATGCAGAAAACGCATGCATGCTCTTTCTCTAAAGTCAGAAGTGGTAAAAGGCTTCTGCACAGAGATGTGAGCTTGACCCACATATCCTCTCCTTCTATAAAAATGCATGAGCTATGCATCTGCAGCAAAAGAACTGCAGGATGAGGCAGTGTGTGTATGTATGACCTGTATGAAGCCAACACGTGCAACTAAAAATCAATGCTAAATCAATATCATATTATCACTTTTTGCAGTCACTGCATCACTGAATACATTTGATAAGAAGTACTGAAAATGACTTTTATCATGTTATAGTAGGTCTACTTTCTACATGATTTATCAACTATTAAAAGACCAGCCTACTTTTATAGACAAAGTCCGATTAAAAACAAACAATAAAGATCGGTCATTAGGCTACATGAAATTAAAACTGCAATCACTTACTAAGTTAAAGAGGTCACGCAAACACATATGCTGACTAATGCATCTACCCTCTGCGCTAAAGCCTACATGACTGCTCATGTTAATGGGATACCGTCACTGTGAAACGTCAGGAGTGAAAGTGAGTGATGAATGCATGGTGGACATGGTGGCTAAAGAGCCCAAGGCTCTCTAATGTTATTCAGATCCACAAAGGAATGCAGGTAAGAAGTATCCAGAGGAAAATAGGACAGGCGCCGCCTATATAACTCACAAACAGGGAGCTATAATTATGAACTAGCTTGCAATCGTGCAAGTTATTTCTAAGCTATGCAACAGTAATATCCAGTACACACATTTGATTTGCTGACCAAATTGGTGTTTCCTCTCGAACGCCATGATCACTCAGAGCCGGGTTTCTCTCACTACTTGTGTGAGGAGAGCGGGAAATGGAAAGCCACAGAACATTTGAGCATGGGAGGGAAAATCATTCCACTCCTTTCCACTCACATGCTGTTCCAGATCAGCTTTTATCATGTCCATTGTTTTGTGACACAGAAAGCTTAATGTTTTGCATCTATCTTCACTAAGAAGAAAAAATACACAAATTGGGCAGCAGACTGGTGGTTGGTAGACATGTGGTTCACCACAAGGCTAGTAATGTGCACTAACAAAGTAAATGGGTCCATTTTGATTCCACACAGACTTTAAGAAATATCACGCTCACAATTCTGCTGTTGTAACGTGTACTGAATATCAGCATGACCTGTGGTACTTGAAAGTGACACAGCCGTGTTGATATTAACTGTTGAAGTCGACATGAAACGTAAGTTTCAATTGTCTTTTCTTCCCTATTGTGATGTATATCCGAGTAAAACGGCTTCAAGGACAAAAAAGAAAGGGGTGGGATTAGTCCATACCCCATAGGGAATTGATTGGATCATTGGATGGTTGTAGTTTGCTATTGTTGTGATCTCATGTGATTGACAGGTTGTCCTGCCCTCTCACCCCTTAACACATCATGAGAGGAAAGAAGAGATGTCACTACAAGGAGGGGAAGTTATTTTGATTCAAGATTGTGAGTGTACATGAATTTAAAAATAATAATAGTAATTGTGTGCAGAGATGAATAATAAATACTGCAAAATTCCATTAAAAATAAGAATTGCCCATTGATTCCATGGTGACTAAAGGCGGACCAAAAAAAAACTAAATAGGGTTTGCAATGGATTTGAAATGAAAGATCCTTTTAAGATAAACAACACCCATAATTGTCCATAACTAAATAGTAAAATACTCGCATACTAGTAGGCTACCTATAGTAACAGAAGAAGAATTCTCGTCCACGAGCTCATTCTTCCATAACAAGCCAGTCTATATGACGTCATTTCAGCTAAGCAACCTGGCGGCTCTTTCACAGATGATGTGTGATAGAGCTGATGCTAAGAAAACATGCTTGTCTGCAACAAATCTGACTTTTTATAGCCTACATATATATATATATATATATCTCGGTTCCAGTCAAATGGTTACTTATTCTCGCAAAATTATCATAGGACCTCATTTAAAGTTCAATGCATATTTATGACACAGCCCTAATAAGCTCGATACAATAATACACAATTCGCGCTTGCTCGTACAGTCAAATTATGCACGCACGGCCGATGCAGCCTGAACGTGAACAATAAATTGAGCAGACAGCGAGCGCTCTGCAAAAATCAAACCCGTGCTGTTGCAGGACAGAATGAACCCGGGCTGCACAAACTGTAATTCTTGCGACAGCCAATGATTTTTCAACCATGTTCATTCAATAATAATACAGAGATGCTTATTGGCTCGTGTTCCATTCACAATATCACTCCCAACTTGAATATATGGGTGGTCTAAACGGAACAATAGACAAAGGGTGAGAATCGTAACTAAACGTGAAGCGTTTGGCAGCGTGCATCTCTGCGTAACGGTTCATTGACTAGGAACGCGCACTGACTGACTGATCACTGCTGTTTTACATCAATTACCAGTGTGAAGAACAACAACGGTAATTTCTGTGACAATTCACACCATCAAGCATATTATCTAAATGCATTTACTCAAGAGGACAAAGCCTGTCTCATCTCATCTATAATGACTTACCTCTCGCGCGACGGCTCTCTCTCTTAGATCAGAATGCGGTAATACACGACAACTCTGTGTGACTCTGTCAAAGACGAAACTGTATGTTGGATCGTGTAATGGCAGAGCTGTGTTAACATGATTTGTGAACGCTCGTGGAGCAGCGACGTTTTTGTCCTCAAAATGACCATCAGAGTTGACAAAACTGTGGCTTTAGCAGATGCTGTGACTGCGGTTTCCTGGCAACCTAAATTATGTTGAGCTGATGACTGAATGGAGCTGACGTGCTGTTATTGATGGTTTTTAATATATACATATACACACATGTATGGGGATGATATACGTAGGCTATAGCTTTTCTCTAAATATACTGGACTTTGACGGAAAGGTACGGCATAAAATTCATATTTTAGTGATTGTGTCTAAGTGACTGGCGCTTGACTATCGTAGTCCTCCAAGACGTTTTAACTTAAGCTGTGTTTGTCTTTTACCTAACGCATAAACCGCCGAGCAATATCTGTCAAAAAGTCATTGATTTGAGAGCCAACCTGAGCACTGATCTTCCGTTTCGGCTCCTCAAGAACGGCGTCTCCAGGTAGCGCGCGCCTGTGAATCTCTCCCCGACACAAATCTAGACATCCAGTGCGGTGCCGCACCGTCGTTTACATCCAGCTCATTCAAATCACCCTCCCAGGGAAGAGCAGGGAGTATCTGCCATTCGGCATCTACTGCAGTCGACAGTTCAGTCTGGCCAGTTGTATCTTCATTGACTATGTTGTGGCAACCCGCTCAAAGTAACATGCTTGTCAGTTCCCCACCGGTCTGTTAGTGACGTTCAATACATTCCATTGGTTGGCTGTGTTGTCAATCAGGCTACAACTTACACATAGAGGCGGAGCTAACGTGGTACTGCACTCTATGGTATTGCCCGTTGGATTTAAAAGGGACGTGTGCCGCCCAACGGTGTCATACAGAAGTGCTTTTCAATTTGTCTTGTATGCAAGACATTTTCATGCTTCCATTGATTAGTAGACCACACCAGAAATGTAACTTAACAATAAAGGGGTTTATTTTCAAAATTTAATTGGTAAATGGGCTGCTGTTTTCTACAATAATAAAATACAACAAATCTGAGAAAAAGATGATTAAATCAAAACAATTATATTAATGTACAAAATAATCACAACCTCCTTTATCCTGTTGTCTGATCATCGCCTCAACCTTTTTCTACACTTGAAAGCTACGAAAAAGAACAGTGTCTTTGTCTTGCAGAAATTAGGAGCAGACTTGTTCAGTACAGTTGTTTCAGTGACTTTCCAATCTGTCCGCTTAAAAAACAAAACATTTTGTTCTGACCAGGCGAGTTGTTACACCATAAACTTTTGTCATTAAATGGTCAATGGCTGTTAGGTCTATATTTAAAGCCCTGTAAGAAGAGTGGCTTTGAGAATAGAATGAGGATGTCCACTTAATTACGATCACATTAAGAAGAATATACTGACCAAATAATGACCAACTTCAACAGTCAACAGGGTTCACAATCCTGACCATAGTTTACTGTTGTTATTTTGGAGAGCACTTTAATCTTTACAAAAATATTTGTTTTAAAAAAAATGCAACAGAAATTAAAGACAATAAAAGAGTGCTTGACAGAGCAATGAAAAGGAGAGGTCTGGACCCAGGCAACAATGAAAACCTCAGAGGAAGTAGGGTGTTGTCGTTCGCGGTGGTATGACCCTTTCCGAGTCAGGAACGGCCCGGAACAACTTGGGCTCCCGTGTGTTCACGTCTTTGAAGACCATGATGGAGGCTATGTTACCACAGCGGTAGCAGTAGTTTGGGGCCGACCAGACGGTTACCAGCTTCTCGTCAAACATGAATTTGTAGCCCTCATGAACCAACTGATGAGCACGGCAAATCAGCTTCAAGTTGTTGATGTGAACAAACTTGAACGGAAAGAAAAACAATTCAGGTTCTGCACAAACAGGTAAATTTACTAAACATTTTTTTCTTCTTTTACTAGCATGTCAGACATTTATGAAACAGCCAATAAATGTAAATAAATGATATTTAGTTAACTGCTAATTTAACGGTCAAATTAATATTTAGCTCACAGCACATTTCATCAAAATTCAGATCTAAGAAAATTGGAACAGTTACTAGTTTTTGCTTTACTATTAGATATTTTTGTGAAACTTCACTGCACTAGTAAAGTATATGGAAATGCCAACAACTACATCATTTCATAACTCAAGACAGTGAGTGACAGCCACGCAAAAGAGCAATTTCTTAAAAGACTAATTTGCATATTTCAACCTGTAATTGCAGAAAAATGTCTCAGGCTAGTGTTTTGTATACACATTAAGTGTTAAAAGAACTAAAAACAGACAGTGTATTTAGAGAATGCCCTTACCTCATTGGTAACCTTAGCACCAAACAGCCAGCCAGCACCCCTTGGGCTGATAGCCCAGGTGTCTACGTCCTCTGGATCGGACCAGACAAGATCACAAAATGCTCCCTTGTGAGGGATTTCCTGATTGCGTTCAATGGTGCGTATCTGGTCCAACGTTTTGATGTCAGGTGAAAGGCCACCATGTACACAAAGGATTTGCTCATCTATCAACTGTGAGAGAAATCAAAACATCACAATAAGTACAGCAGAAGGAAAATACATGTTAAACAGTCTTAGACAGTTATAAAGTGCAAAATAGCATTTTCAATCCAAGAGGTTTTTTGAAGCATTAAATATATAGTAAACATATCTCAAGTAAACATTTTATGTTGATTGAGTACCAGATACACAATTATACATTATAGACATAATGGGTAAAATTGTCTAAAACAATAGCAATATTATATCAAACTAAAAATACTGAACTTGTAGTACCATACATTACTGTGTTGAAGTATGGGGACACATAAATTAATATGCTACACGTGATCTATATTTGTAAATTGACTCTACTATTACCAACCAACCAACAAAAGATCAAAAATTATATATATATATATATATATATATATATGGTGATCTGGTTTATTTCAAAATTGTCAGTATAAACTTAGGGAAACACATTTATAAAAACACAGACAAATATACATGTAAAATAAGTGTGACAAGGAATTAAGAATGTGTAGTTCCCTTTGCAATTTAAATAATGTTTAAAACAAATTGAAAAAATGTATAACAAAAAATGTATATGAAATATTTTTAAAACAAAATGGACTACTTGCACAACTACTTCCATGTTTTACTTATTACAACTCTGGTTTCCCGTAAAAGAGTTCAGCGCACCTAGGCCTACATACATTATTATTACGACGTTTTATGGCTGTCAATTGATTTAAAAACAATTAATCATGTTCTCTGTGTTAATATGAATTATCGTGAACCTGCTGAAATGTTCCTATAAATATATTTTCTTTCCAACTGTGTATTCTGAATAATTAATAAAAGAAATTCCCCCACTAACATGGTGCAATCCAGTGCTTATCTTCTCATTAACAGTGTTTTCTCTTACTGATCATATTTCATACCTGTTGAGTTTACAGCTTTAAATGAATTTGACTGATAAATAGGATTGCTAGTGTGTGCTGGAGCTCTTATTTCAGCCTTTAAAAATATTTGAATGAATGAGCGGTACGTGCCGTAAATAAATTTAACAATGTTAAATATTTAATTAATATTAATCAGTAACACACACCCATAGAGGAGAATGACAGTGAACTACTTTGATTATGTTATTTACGTTTATGCCGAAAATTCTTATATTAAAATGATTGCCGATGAGAAATGACAAAATAGTTATTAAAATATTTGTATTCATCAGGTCTCACACACACTCAGGGTCCGAAATTAACACCCGCCAAGCGCCAAATGCGGGTAGATTTTCCGTTTGGCGAATACATCTCAAAAGGCTATCCGCCCCACTGGCGGGTGAATGTTCATACCAAAATAGTAATGTAATAAAATGTTTATTATAATTGCATTTTGTAATGTTATAAAATATCTGGTATGATGGCGACGGACATGACGAAGTTGTTGTGTTTGCGGGATGGGAATTGAAAACAGTCCTTATTTCCAGTCCTTCAGTTACTGATCGGATCAGTCAGAGTAAATGGAGTAAAAAAATAGGCAGAGTAAAACTAAATATTTTTTTTAAATAATATATTATTATTGCATATATTTTATTAAATATACAATTAATACATTTCATTTGTACAGAACTATTTTCATATGCACCACCACAAAAATATTATTTTAATGTGTAAATTGTGTAATGGGTGTAAATAAAAGTAAAAATGGAAAATAATAGACCAGAAATATGACAAAAATGTTTAAATATAGCCTATGTATAAATTAATGTACATGTGACAATCAAATGTATAGGCAAGACAAGTAGTTTGTTTAGGCATGGTTTGTAGGGAAATTACTAACCTGCGCACAAATATTCAAACGAATATAACTACAGAATCAATTTTTAATGCGCATGTGAACGCCATCCGGTCACAGGTTCGCGTTTAAAGTCTGTTTAGAGATAACGCCGTCGTCTTAGTGGCCCCTAATGTAATAACAAATGATAATTTTGCTGGAAGTGAATCAATCACAACTAACTTTAGCTGGAAATAACATTACTCGAAAATCGCTATAAAGCCAAAACAATCTCTGTTACCGTAAATTGTATGTTTATCTCTGTAAAGCTGCTTTGAAACAATCTCCATTGTTAAAAGCGCTATATAAATGAAGATGACTTGACACAAAAAGGCTGTTTATTATTTTGGCCGGTAAAAAATATGCTTGGCTGGTGGATTTTTTCATCTACCAGTCCCCATGGCAGGTGAGCCAAAAAGTTAATTTTGGACCCTGCACACACTTCAGCATCACGGTCAATAGTTTATGCTGGGGCCACACCAAATGATATTTAAAATCTTATAAGATTTTCAAAATGTGAGACCACAAACATGAGGACAAAAAAATCCTAGATTTAACAGTTTTGCTCCTATAGTGTGTGGTTTGCCATGATGTGAAGACACCACCACACACAAACAGATCTTCAACCAGAGTCCCAACTGTGAACACGTCAAATCTCGCAAAATCTCTCGAGACTTCAGAATAAACATGGCAGACTATTGCAGTGTTTCCTCTAGGATTTTTTTCAGCCGTGGTGGCAGGCCCATTTCGCCAGGGGGAGGGGGCGTGGCCCATGAGTGATATTCCCATTGGCCACGCCCCCTTATCCCAGGTGTTTAAACCTCCCCTAAGCATTATAACATGAAAGGCGCCAATAAGAGCGGCAAAGCGATTATGCGCATCCCGTGCGGAATGATGCACTTGAAGCACAGCGCGCAGCGCTTCACATTGAAAAGTTCAAAGCGAAGAGATTATATCTATCTATGCTTAATGTATTATATCTATGCAACAGTTTATTGAGCCTTTTCTTTTAACAGTTTTAAATTTCAGTTAACTTACAGTGCGCATGAAGAACAATTCATAGTGCTCTCTACTCTAGTGCTGTAGTAACAGACACCCGGGAGAAAGGAATATGATTTAGAAAGCGCTATAAACTCCAGCAAGATAAAGTAATTTTATGCAAACTATAGACCTTTATCTACAAATAAAGTATAATAATGGGAACATTGATCTAGAAGAGAGTGTCGTCGTGTTACTGTCGTAACCGAACGTGACGTGCTGTTTGAATGCTGAATGTAGAATGACTGAGGAGAGATGAGTTTCCATTAACTTTAACTTAACGACTTAAAAATACATTTTTACCTCACATTATGCTATTGAATGACTTCAGAAGTCTTGGAATATAGTGTGAAAACTTTATGGTGCTTTACAATGTTTTGTATGCCTTTAGTGGGGCTTAACAATAACACATACAATATCGGACCGAGAAGCTGCAGCCGTGGCGGGATGATTTTAGGTGTGGCGGCCCGCCACGGCAGAATGAATGTAGCGGAAACACTGTATTGGCAGGAAGAAATTATGAAATTTTCAACTCTATTGTGGTATGTTTTACAGGACACGTTCTTCCGAGCAGGTTCAGTCACTAGTCTTAACACACCTCACACCACAGGAAAATCTGATAAAATAATCTGTAGAACCATCAAGATAATCGGGACTTCATTTAGAATTGTCGGAAGGGGAGAAATCGGCCCGAATATCTTGTGGTGTGGCCCCAGCATTAGACGAGCACTGACACCATGTAGTGAAATAATCGCGTATGTTTAACAGCCTCTGCTTTCTAAGATCGGGCCTGGGTTGGATTAAAACTTCCTGTTCCGTTGAGTTTGGAAAATTATTTACACAGTAATCATAAGAATATTTATTCTCCTGTCTCTGAAAATGTCCAGATTTTTTAATCTTGCCGGAAACTCATTTCAGGTGCCTTTAGTCAACTAGGTGACTACAGCACATTGAAAATATACATGACTGGAAATAAATGAGTTGTACCATTTAAAAAAAAAAAAAAAAAGTGTCACGAAGCTCAGTGCAAGTAGTCGATTGTATTAATGAAAGGTGTAATTTTAAAGAAATTGTCTTGAGTAACGGTTTCGTTTTCGTTTTTTTTAATATGCTTATTTAAAAAAAAAAAAAAAAGTACGTAAAATAAGCTAAGGGTTATTTAAAGCGTACACATTTTTAAATGACTATGGAGTGCAACAACCGGGATCCTCAAGTAAAAACTCCATTCAGTTTCTCCATAGGGATAGTGATTTTGAACAATAACTTATAAACCTTTAAAGACAGAACTACTGTGAGATACGAGGTTATTAATACATGGTATTTGCTTCTGCTTCTGCTGTCAGTCCACATTATTTCAGCTTATTTTTAAAATAATTGTGTTTAACAGCAGCATTCCTTGTGAAAAACTACATTACCCATAATGCTGTACAAATAATTACACCAGAGTCAGGAAAAAAGCAACACCAAAATAGCTCTGTAGCTCCACCTACTCCCAAGCAGCACTGCGAATGACGCAATTGCGTCAATCTCTCTATGTACCGTTGTCTTTGTCCGATTTTTTCAAAAACTTTTTTTTGCTTCAACTCAAAGATAGTAGTGTTGTGATACGCCTCATAGCTGATTGGCTTGGTTCACGGCTTATAACTCTTTAACAAAGACTGAAATTGTATATGTAAAATCTTAACACTTACGGCAGCAACAGTCAGCATGTCAAAAACTTTAGTGCAGTATCGCCAGGCATTAGCATTTCCATATTTAGTTTGGCACTCATCTATAGACAGAAAGACAGGAAATGAAACCCTAAAATGAATGTACAACAAAATCTCAATACAATAAGTTCATCATGATAGGCATGCATTTGATTTCTGTAGTCTCACCATAAAAGCCATACACTTGTGTGATCTGCCTGCTCTCGTGATTGCCACGCAACAGTGTGATGCGGTCAGGCCACTTTGCTTTAAGTGCTAGCAAATATGTGAATGTTTCTAAGCTGTAATATCCTCGGTCAACAAAGTCTCCCTAAAGGAAAGAGAACATACCGTTACCTCTTCAATAAATGCTTTGGGGAAAGTTTCCAGTGAGTCACCAAATATGAACTGCAATACAATATGCATCACATCATCTTTAGAGATACAATACCATGAAAATGTAGTTTGTGTCTGGTACTTGGCCCCCAGTTCTGAAGAGTTCACATAGGTCATAAAACTAGGGACAAAGAAAAGGTTTAGTTCAGGGGTGCCCAATCCTGTTTCCACAAATCTACCTTCCTGCAAAATTCAGCTCCAACCCTGAACAAACACAACTGAAGCAGCTAATGAAGATCATCAAGATTACTTGATAATTACAGACAGGTATGTTTTATCAAGATTGGATGTGAACTCTGTAGGTAGGTAATATCCAGGAACAGGATTGAGCACCTCTGGTATATATGCAGCATGTTGTTATGGCAACAACAAAAAAAAAGAAAAAAGACCGTCATCATTACAAGATCTGCAACTAACAACATAGATGCATTAATAGGGCCTTCTCGCACCTGTCCATGAATGTCCCCGCATACAGTGACTGGAGTGGATACTGGCTGTACATTTGATTCTTCAAGTAGCAGGTCACATACATAGTCACACAATCTCTGTCAAAGCAAAAGAAGAAAGCAGGTTTGAACAAGCTTGTAAAAAGGATGGCATCACGTATGATGATAGCACAACCAGCAAATAACTGCATCCAAGGTCAAGTTCATTCATAAGGAAGTCAAAACTGAGCCTTTTCAGGTCGCATTTTTCAAAATAGCACATTAATGGCTTGGGTGATACTGTTATGGACCGCATTGCTGCATTAAGGACTAATTCAGAAGCCTAATTGTACGTACAATAACTCGATTTTAAGATAAGGGAGTGGAGAACGGTTCAGGCAAGAATGAAAACTGCTGATAAAGACGCAAATATCATTAAATAAGATTAACTAAGAGATAGATGGGCGTTTCAATTTGGTTCGCTTGATAGCAACAACATAAGTTAGCCATCCTAGGTGTTCACAAGAAATAATCAGTTACACAACTTTATAATGACTAACTGCTTTTTTTTGGGGGCCGCATAACCTGTTATTTCTGATAATATGTAGAAAGTAAATCCCGGAACACAGGCTAACGTCAACTGATCAAGTTAGATTAATTCGCAACGACTGCATTGCACTGACTCACTATGTTGCCGGCCTTTACCACGATCTACACGACTTTATAAATATACTTAGAACTAATATGTTTAACATTCTTAGAAAAAGCAAAAATTACAGATGATAGTCACCTTTAAGTCGTTCTCTGGAAGATATTTGCACTGCCTCGCAATTTCAACATACTTATCCAGGTCCAGCGGCGCCATTTTAAGAACAACAGTCGATGCGATGGAAGAAGCGAAGAGGAAGTCTCTCCACGTCATAGAGGGAGGTAATGATTGACACGGAATCAGCCAATCAGTACTTCGATAGGGTCATGAGCACCACGGCGCCACTTTTTTATTTATTCAAGTAACATACATTTTGTACAAATACAAGTATTAAACATTATACATACAATACAAAAAAGAAAAAAGAAACTAAATAAAAAAGAAAATGGTTCCAGGGGATAATAACATAAATATCAGAAAAAAGGTGCTTCACGGCGCCACTTGCACGCATTAGTTTTAGGTGGTTATCACGTTTCTCGTAATAGAGTTGGAAAAATATATTGAGCAATAGACAGAGGCTGATGTTTGTCAAAAGGTTCAAACTTTTTTAAATAGTTTGAGGCATCATCGATATCTAAGTCCCTTTATCAGAACATTATCCATTCATTCACCACGAGGTGGCAACAAACAGTTTCATATTAGGTCATCTCATATAAACCTACTCAAAAAATCTCAATATGATTTATGAATCATCATACATTAGTTTTTTCTATTTTTATGCTTATATAGGAAACATCAGTGTCTCATGTTGAATGTCCACAAAGTACAACAATTCAATAATTAATAACCACTTTATTACCACTGCAGTCATAATACACATGGCTGAACTAAATTTGCAGGAGAAAAACCAAACATCACAATTTTTATTAAAAAACCCCACTACATTATCATTAAAATGAGTCGAACATCTTGATTATATGAAGTTATACAAATGCTAATATTTTCTGTACTTTAACACCACAACTGCTACAGAAATTTTAATGCACTAGGCTAGATAAAGTATTATATAAGGACAACAACTGCTTGTTATTGTGGAATTGATTATCAGATCTCTATGCAGATATTATATTTGAATGTATACAAACGTTGTGTATGCCTACATGCATGCATTGTTTTGCTCTGGTGTTCTGGGCATATGAAGCTGGTTTCATCTCTTTGTTAGATATTTGTTATATGTTTGTCAGTGCAAAGCAGAAGATGGCATGCCCTAGTTGGCAGTTGGCAGTATGGGATAAAGAACACAATAAACAAACACAATTGACACAGTTTAAAAAAAAAAAATCTTGGGCAGAGTAACTAATGCACATATTTGTTTTTTTTTACTGAACAGTTAACTTTTATGATTTAACAAAATTAACACATTTACATCATTTGAGGAAAAAAGGTTTGTGCTTTGAAGCAACTAATTTTCTATATTCTGTGCACCCGAAAGATCCACAATTAGCAAAAACCAAGACAAACCCAATTAATTTGATAAAAAAGTAGCAATTTTCATTAACTGCTGGATGTTTATAACAAAACATGGTCTTATAAATACACAAAGACAATGTAAAGTATACAACTAAAATACAGAATGTAACCTGATATTATTCAATTAAACAAATAAAAAATAAAAATCCAATGACCTATTACACCAGTCTGACTTGTTTCCTTTTCCTCTTATTTGGTGAATAAATTACAATGATATTTCATGATTTGTCCCTTGAAAAATAAATTCACATTTTAGTGTTGCCCAACCCTGGTCCTGGAGTAGCCCCATTAGTCCACATTTCCTCTCCATTATCTGATAAACTCATTTCAGGTATTGGAGTTTAATGAACTGATGAGTTGAATCAGGTGTGTTTGATTAGGAAAACTGTTAAAGTGTAGGTTCTTTTAGGGCAAATGGTAGTGTTTAAACTTGACTGATGCATTAATTTGGGCCATTGAAGAGAAGTTTTGAGAGGTGAAACGTGTCACCGAGATTTTGTCCGTGCAGATTCCTGCAAAAGAAAAATGTAATGCCTTCAAAATGATGAAATAAATAGATGTAACTAATTTCAACATCATTTTTAATACTATTACACATAGTGGTATATAATGATCACTGATTACAAAGATATAAAGATTACATTTTTAATATTTTGTATGTTTCCAATGTATTCATTATGTTGTATGCATTGCATTATGTGGACCCACCACCATCAAGTGTCCATTCTTGGCTCTGTAGACCATGCATTCACTGCTGCTCTTAAAATCCACAAAGCCCTCTTTGCCAGGCTGGATGTCAAACCTCACACTACAAAACGACAATGATTCAGTATATGTATAATGCATGCATTTAAATACAATGCTAACACTTTACAATAAGGTTTCATTAGTTAACTTGAACTAATAATGAACTGCACTTCTACAGCATTTCATCTTTTTTAATGGTCATTTCAACATTTACTAATACATTATTAAAATCAAAAGTTGTTATTGTTGACATGAGTTAATGCACTGTGAACTAACATGAACAAACAGCTCTCTTTTTTAACTAACATTAACAAAGATTATTAAATACTGTAACAAAACAAATGTATTGCTCATAGTTAGTTCATGTTAGTTAATGCATTAACTAATGAAAACAAATAAAACCTTATTGTAAAGTGTTACCAATACAACAAACAATCTATCTCTGAGAGCAGGACCGAGTAGGCCTATCCAAAGGCAATTCAGGTAAAAGTATCTCACCTTCCTTGTACAACTTTGATAAGGCTTTGGTTTTTTGCCACTACACAGATTTTTGTCAATGCCTCGAATAGATAGCTGCACTGCAAGACCAGGTCCCCCTAAAAATAGAATATTTAACATAATGTAAACAAAATGTTTGTTTTTGTTTCAATTTACCACATGCATGACAGCCATTCAAAGCAATTACTCCCTCACAAAGATTTTACTTTTACACCTACTTTTTGCTTTGTATCATCACATGTGACATGGAGAATCAGGAAGTTGTCACTTAAATTGCTGACAGACACCCCTGTAAATAAGCAAATATATCTTGTAAACAAAGTTATTATGGTGTAATATGGAACTTGACTATTTAGTAATGGTGTGTGTTACAAGAGTTAGAAAAAAGTTAAAATATAAAAATAAAACTGAAAAATAACCTATTAATTTAAAATGACCTTTTAATGAAATTGGATAATTTCTAGTAGTTATATTTATATTCAAATGCATAGACTATATTAAAAATAATATATATTTAAATAAATGCCTCTGTGTGAAATTTGCCATTAATTCAGATTTCAATCATAGACTTAATTATTGGGAATCTGTGCCGAGTAGTGTTGATTACAGGTATATGTAATCTGAATTACATAATCAGATTACAAAAATGAAATGCTTGTAATTAGATTATATTACATTTTAAAATATGTCTCATTTTTCAGCTCCTCCCCACCCACACGCACAATCGGTTCTCTTACGAGAGTATCTCTCGTACTGCGTAATAGCTTACGCTAGGGGAAAAACTCTTTTCCGCGAGATATTGAAGCCAAAAATTATCCTTAATTTTTTATTAATGTAAAACGCTTTGCAGCAGCAAGCAGACATAGGCGAAACAGCTCGCGCGCCTATTGGTTGCTCTGCAGCAAATGCAGCAGCCTATCGAGAGAGACTCGCGCCCATATCGTCACGTCCCGCCAGAAGGGGCGTGGTCTCACCCTATAAATATGCTCGTTAGGCTGATACAAGCTGATTTTTACCTCTTCAGCGAAGCACACGCATCGCTGGATCCGGAGTGAGAAGCCGCGCCGTCGAAGCAAGCCTTTCAGCGGGACGAGCTCTGGAGTCGCTGGCCTCGCCGCCTTCAACTGCCGTACCTGCTGCGCTTTCCGGCGTTCTATATCCTTTCATACTCTGTGTGTATTTACTCTGTTGAGAGTGTTTGCTCGCTTACTTGACGCGACTCACACTTCTCTCACAAAAAGAGCTGCGTCTTTTTAAAGATGCCTTCCTGTGGCTCGTGCCGCGCCCCGCTCAGCGATGGAGACCGGCACGTCATCGGTGTTTCCTGCCTGGGTGAGGATCACGCGGCTCTCGCGCTCGCTGACGGTGGATGCCCTCATTGCGAGCTTTTGCCCATGGTGACTCTGAGGACTCGCCTGGCATCATTCTCCGAGCCTTCACCGCAGCCCGCCGTGGTGCCGCGCCGCAAGAAGCGCCGCGCCCAGCGCGCTCCCGAGCTTTCTCCAGCCCGCCAAAGCTCGCCGGTTCGCCCGCCAGCTTTGCCGGCTTCGCTCGAGTCTTGTAACACACACTCATCTCATCTCGAGTCGCTCACTGACGGACAACGGCCGCCGCCTGCCGCCGCGTCCATCCACGAGTTTGACGAACCCACCGAGGCGTGTTCTCTTCTGGCATCCGATAGTGAGGATTGGGCGAGCTCCGTGGATCTCCCCTCCGCTAGCGTTTCCCGCCAGACCACTGGTAAGAGAGCCGGCATTGAGACTGAGCTGATGCGTCTGCTCTCTCAGGCCGTGGAAAGCATCGGCCTCGATTGGGAGGCGCCCGCGCAGCCGCCGCGCAACAGAATGGACGGACGCTTTCTCGGAAATGACGAGGCTCCGACGAAATCGCGGCCCGCGCCCTTCCTCCCGGAACTTCACGAGGAAGTGACTAAATCGTGGAACGCCCCCTTCTCCGCCAGGCTGCGTACCTCTGCCTCTGCTGCTTTCTCCTCAGTGGATGGCGCGAAGGACAGAGGATACCTTTCTGTTCCTCCTGTGGAACCAGCTGTAGCGTCTCATCTCTGCCCGCCCTCCGCTGGACGGCGCGCTCACACGACGCTACCTTCTAAAGCCTGCCGAGTGACGTCAACCATGCACGGTCGCGCTTACACCGCCGCCGGGCAAGCAGTTTCAGCGCTGCACACTATGGCTATCCTGCAGATCTACCAAGCCGACCTTCTCCTTAAATTGGACGAGGAAGGACCCGGAGCGATCTGCGTGGCGGACCTGAGAAGCGCTACAGACCTCGCTCTTCGCGCTACTAAAGCCGCTGCACAAGCCATAGGACGAAACATGGCCTCTCTCACCGTGGCTGAGAGACACTTATGGCTGACGCTGTCCGAGATGACGGAAGCCGAGCGCTCTGTGTTCCTCGACGCGCCCATTTCACAAGCGGGCCTTTTCGGATCTGCCGTCAAAGATTTCGCGGACAGATTCATGGAGGTGCAAAAGACTTCGCAGGCCATGAAGCACTTCCTTATGAAGCGCTCGAGCTCCGGTGCAGGCCGCTCAAAACAGCCGTCTGCTCGCAGTTCTCAGCCGCAGCCTGCACCGCCTGCCGCCGCCGCTTCACAGCGCCGCCACGCCCGAGACCAAAGACCGCGCTCTCGCTCTGCTGGACACCGCCCCCCTCAGCGCGGGCCCCGGCCGAGGATTGAGATCAAGCCCGAGGCCTCAAAATCTTCCTAGCCATTCTAGGAAAGCGACGGTGTTCAGATCCCGCTGCGGCCGGATTTCCACCAAAACTTCTCGCTCGGTCAGTTCCAAACATCGCGACTGTCCCAGTGTATTTCGCAGTGAGCCAGCCGGTGTCTCAGCCCGTTTGCCTGCGCACAAAAGCCGTTTTTACGGCTACCCAGATAAATCCAATAAAGAGTGCATTTTCTGGTGTTCCGGCCATGGCCGATGGTGTTATAAGTGTTGTAAGAATGCCCACCCAGTGCCCATTCACACACACAGACACAGCCCGCCACGGTGCAGGGCTAGCACATATAAAATCGACTCCGGTCGATTGTGCAAACAATGTAGTAAACGCGCCCATGTCACCATGCCCGCTCACACTACATGCTGCGTGTCCCTTGGTTTCTGTAAAAACAAAACCAACACACATTCAGTCGGCCATGAACGACAGTGTTTTCAGTGTAATAAATGTGCCCGCAGCCCCGCGCCCACATTTTCTCACAGACACGCCGATTCCTACGGGATCTCCCCCGCTCGCTTTTTCTGCACAATCTGCCATAAAAAAGCTGAGCGCGGTCAGGCCGCCCGCTGTGATCAGCGCGCCCCCCGCCTCGAACGCTGTAAACATGGTGTCGTGTTCCCAGTATGCCCGGGCTCTCGAGCTGCCGTTTTGCCGCGACCAGAGCCCGGATTTCATTCTGCCCCTAGCTATTCACGCAGATGCGTGGTCAAAGCTTCCCGGGGTATCAGAATGGGTGCTGAACACTATAAAGAGAGGCTATTCGCTACAATTTGCTCGACGCCCGCGCCGTTATACGGCGCGTGTCGAAACTACGGTGAAAAACGAAGTGTCTCATCTACTTCGTGCCGAGATAGCGAAACTACTGAGCAAAGGGGCTATAGAACCTTTATCTCAGGCTCAGAGCGAAGGGGGCCTATACAGCAGATATTTTCTGGTGCCGAAAAAGGATGGGGGTCTCAGACCCATTTTAGATCTACGACAGCTGAACAGAGTGCTTGTCAAACGCCAGTTCAGAATGCTTACGACCAGGAAAATCCTCGCGCAAGTGCGCCACGGGGACTGGTTTATGTCGATAGATCTGAAAGACGCCTATTTCCAAATACAAATAGCGTCCCATCACAGGCGATTCTTGAGATTCGCCTTCGAGGGCCAGGCATATCAATACACAGTCCTGCCGTTCGGCCTGTCCCTAGCACCTCGTACATTTACGAAGTGCATGGACGCGGCGCTCGCACCCCTGAGACTTCAGGGCATGCGAGTCCTGAAATACTTGGACGATTGGCTGATTCTAGCTCGATCACGATCGGAGCTCATAGAACACAGGGCCGCATTACTCGAGCACCTCGAGGAGCTGGGCCTCACAGTCAATTGGGCGAAGAGCTCACTGTCTCCCAGTCAGAAAATTTCCTTTCTGGGAACCGTGTTGGACTCGCTGTCCATGACAGCACGCCTGTCACCAGAGCGCGTGCTAAATATTCAGCGCGGCGTGAAATCCTCCCGCCACGGCGCGATAGTTCCGCTCAAAAGGTTTCAGAAAATGCTGGGGCTGATGGCCTCAGCAGCCTCTGTACTCCAGTTGGGCTTGCTCCGCATGCGCCCACTGCAGATGTGGCTGAAAGCGCGGGTTCCACCCAGGGCATGGACAGCGGGTCTGTTTCGCCTCAGGGTCGACCTTCAGTGTGTTTCAGCTCTGGAACCTTGGAAAATAACCGACTGGTATCAGTCAGGTGTGAGTCTGGGGACCGCTTCGAGTGTGAAGGTGGTGTCTACGGACGCCTCCACCTCGGGGTGGGGAGCGCTGCTCGAGGGCAGACCGCTAGCTGGCCTGTGGTCAGAACGGGAAAAGCTCCTTCACATAAACTGCTTGGAGATGATAGCAGTCGACAAAGCGCTACGGCGTTTTTGTCCCCAGGTAACAGGCCACCACGTCTTGGTCCGGTCGGACAACATGTCAGTGGTGGCATACATAAATCGCCAGGGCGGCGTCAGGTCACGAAACCTTCACAGGCTGACGGAACGCCTCCTGGTCTGGGCTCAGCACAACCTGCTCTCACTGAGAGCAGCGCACGTGCCTGGTCACCTGAATGTGGGACCAGACAGACTGTCCAGGAACAATGTTCCAGCAGGGGAATGGTCGCTGCACCCGCAGACGGTCCAGCTGCTGTGGAAAACGTTCGGCAGAGCACAGATGGACCTATTCGCGTCCAACGAAAACGCTCATTGCCCGGAGTTTTTCTCGAAAAGCAAGGACGCGCTGGCTCATGTTTGGCCCCGCTGCCCCCTATATGCTTTTCCTCCTGTCTCGCTCCTGCCTCAGGTGTTGGAACGAATCAGGGAGAACAGATGCCCAGTGCTGCTCGTAGCTCCGCTCTGGACAAACCAGACGTGGTTCCCTGCCCTGATGCAGCTGACCAGCACTGCCCCATGGCCTGTACCATTGAGGAGAGACCTCCTCTCTCAGGCGGAGGGCTCGATTTGGCACCCTCGCCCGGGGTTGTGGTCCCTGCACGCATGGCCCATCAACGGGTACCCGCTAGCCTCCCAGAAGGAGTGTTAAACACGATCGCGCAGGCTAGAGCTCCGTCTACCAGGCGGCTCTACTCCTCGAAATGGTCTGTTTTCTCTGCATGGTGTCAAGCCCAGAGCTTTTCACCTGTGGAATGCGGGGTTTCGGAAGTGCTTTCCTTCCTTCAAGAGCTACTGGATAAGGGCAGGACCCCATCCACGCTCAAAGTATATGTGGCGGCCATAGCAACGTTTGCAAAACCGGTGTCTGGCCAGTCGCTGGGGAAAAACGACTTAGTCGTGCGTTTCCTTAGGGGAGCTCGGAGGCTGAACCCTCCCAGGCCCCCTTCAGTCCCGACGTGGGACCTTTCCACGGTCCTGGAGGCCATGAAAGGCACCTCGTTCGAGCCAATCCAGCTGGTGGACATGAAACACCTGTCGTTCAAAACAGTGTTTCTCATGGCTCTCGCTTCAGTGAAGCGCATAGGGGACTTACAGGCGCTTTCAGTAAGCGCGTCGTGTATGGAGTTTGGGCCTAATGACTCGAAGGTCATTCTCAAACCAAAGCACGGGTATGTCCCGAAATCCCTCAATACACCGTTCAGGGCCCAGGTAATTTCCCTGTCCGCCCTTCCGGTTCTCAGTGAGGAGGAGGATGCGAGTCTCCTTTGCCCCGTCAGGGCATTGAGAGCTTATGTGTCACGCTCGTCTGTTTTCAGACAGACGGAGCAGCTTTTTGTTTTGTTTGGCGGGCGTTCCAAGGGACTCGCCGCCTCAAAACAGAGCCTATCCAGATGGATAGTGGATGCCATTGCGCTCGCTTACTCTGCGAAGGGCCTACAGTGCCCCTTGGGTGTCAGGGCGCACTCCACGAGAGGCGTGGCCTCTTTGTGGGCATGGTCGAGCGGGGTTTCCCTGCAAGATATCTGTACGGCCGCGGGCTGGGCCTCGCCGTCTACATTTATAAAATACTATAACCTGGAGGTACCCGCCTTACAAGCTAAGCTTTTGGCGGTCTAAAATTCAGTGCTATCTGCCCCGCTGTGCGGCCCAGATGCTGAGTTTTCTGCAACCCCATGATTGTGTTGACAGACGTATGGCCACCCAGATCAGGCTGAAAGCTTTCACCCTGGCTGCGCGTTTTATTGTCATATAATAGCCCCGCTGGGTGCTTTTTTATAGGGAATGACGCTTCCAGCCTCTCTTCCTACACTCTATGTGAGTTTATGGTGATTATGCACTACATGAGCCCTGGGCTTCGGCCCCCGGGACTTTGGTGTTGGATCCCTGTACGCACGGCGTGTTGCATTGTGTTCCCCTAGCGTAAGCTATTACGCAGTACGAGAGATACTCTCGTAAGAGAACGTACTCGGTTACTAACGTAACCTCGGTTCTCTCTAGAGAGGGAACGAGTACTGCGTATCTTGCCGTGCTTGGTATACGCTCTGGTTCGCTTCAGTGATAAAAACCAGCTTGTATCAGCCTAACGAGCATATTTATAGGGTGAGACCACGCCCCTTCTGGCGGGACGTGACGATATGGGCGCGAATTGCCCCCATTGGTCATTACGTCACGCAGAGTCTCTCTCGATAGGCTGCTGCATTTGCTGCAGAGCAACCAATAGGCGCGCGAGCTGTTTCGCCTATGTCTGCTTGCTGCTGCAAAGCGTTTTACATTAATAAAAAATTAAGGATAATTTTTGGCTTCAATATCTCGCGGAAAAGAGTTTTTCCCCTAGCGTAAGCTATTACGCAGTACTCGTTCCCTCTCTAGAGAGAACCGAGGTTACGTTAGTAACCGAGTACGTTACATCCAGCCGCAGCCGATGTCGATCACACATCTAGTCTTATGTGTCCTGTTCTGATTGGTCGCTTCAGGTCATGTGTTTCTCTGATCTGTTTTCTCATTGGTTCATTGTTTGATTATACACAGGTGTTCCTTGTTAGTCATTAGTCTCTGTGTGCATATATAGCCCTCATGTTTCCATTGTTCCCTGTCTAGCTTTGTTCCGTGTAACAGTGAGTTTTGTGTTTCATGTTCATGGTCAAGTTTAGGTTGTCAAGTCAAAACTAACCAATATTTTGTATTTTTTCACATTTTGTTTAAATAAAAGACATGAAAACAAGAACATGAAATTAAACAAAAAACAGACGTGACAAATTACATGCACAATTGAGAGGCTGCACAGCATAAACAAATAAAATATTGAATATTTTTATTAGATAGTTTTATTTAGATTTTTTTACTTTCAAATTATTTATTTCTTCTAATTTAACTCGATGATTTAAATTTGAGCTTTTTAATGTTATAAATACGTTAGATCAAAAGTAATCTAAAAAAAATGGTTCATTATATTACAAAAAAATGTGTAATATTATAGATTACATTACTAATTACAATTTTTGTCATGTAATTTGTATTCAGTAATGGACTACAATTTGTAATCTTATTTGTAAAATTTGTCATTTTAAAGTAATCTACCCAGCAGTGTTGGACATTAAGATTTACCTTTAAGTGAGCTGTAATTCACCCTCTGTTTAATTTTGGCCTCCTCCACCAAATACGCAGCAGCCTGGGTGAAGATTAGCTGTCTGAAACGTGGCCGAAAGCCATTCCTGTCATACTTAATCACTGGAACACTGTACTGTATAGAGAGAGAGTTCACAATAAGTTTTCCCCTGCCCATGATATAAACATCTGTCTGACTGAAAAATATATAGATCTACTGTACTCATAATCAAACAAGCTCAGAAATGAGTACATACATGTGTAGGTATATTTACCTCAATGCCCTCAGGACAAATCAGCTGCAAGACTTTGACGTTCATGTCCTGTTCACCTGAAGACAATAAACATAGAAAGAGCAAAGTTTTGTAATGTTTATTCATAAGGAATAACTTGATTTTTGCATTTACAATTACAGCAGCAGAAGTATATAAAACAAATCATAAACTCTTACTTATCCTAGTGCCAGCAAAGGGTTGGCATATGCTCTGAGGGTAGTTCTCTTTTCTGCCTTTGAATATGTCACTGGTCAGTGCTTTGATTTGCAGCTGAAAATGAAATGGAACTGTAAAAGAATTCCAGCCAGAGAATAAAATATGAAAATAAATGTTCAGATAAATGAGAGGTGAAAATGACAATTTTACCTGCACCTTTCGCTGTGCACTGATCCCTCGAACATACTTCCGTACGAGGAGACGTGTGTGCAACTTACGTAAGAGCACTGAGGCCTATAGATTAATTTATAACAATGTAAAGTTTCATTAATGAAATCATGAACCTCAGCTATAACAATAACTTTGCAGTGTTTCAATGATAACGGGTCCAAAAATATATGGACTACCTCTTGCATTATTGGTGGAGGAGTCAGCCAAGTAGTTTTGTCTAGTACTGATTTTGGCAGATACTCTTTGAGTCGAGTGAGGTAGCTCTGTCTGACAAAGGCCAGATATTCAGAGTTGTCCATGCTTACAGGCTGATTCCTGTTCATGAAGCCCTTGATAAACCTGCAAGGATGGGGGAAAAAATATCTTAGAGCTCCAACATCATCAAATTTGATTGTTACCTTAAATAGTTACATACATTACTGTTCAAATGTCAGTAAGATTTTTTAATGTGCATTCATTTGTTCAAAATAGTCAAATAGTTTGAAATATTATGGTTAAAAATAATTTGTAAATGTACTAAATTAACCCATTTCACTAAATTTTAAAATGTGATTTATTCATGTGATGGCAAAGCTGAATTTTTAGCAGCTTTTACTCCTGTGCAGTGATCCTTCAGAAACCATTTTAATATGTTGAGTTGGTGTATTTCTTATTATTATAAGAAGGGGGAGGGGAGGGAAACATTTGAAAACAGTAATACATTTCCACATAAATATAAGTTCAAAAGACCAGCATTTATTTCAAATAGATATCTTTTGTAACATTTTAAACGCCTATACTGTGTCTTTTGATCAAATTGATGCATCCTTGCTGAATAAAAGTATTCAAAATTGTATTCAAATATTAAAATAAATCCCAAACATGTACATGTAAAAGCAGAAGTAACTGACAGAAAGGATCTGACATGATTGTCTCACTTCTTGATGACTTTGACAGCCCAGGCTCTTCTTTCCCTCTCTTTTCTGGCCTGAAGGCCCCGCCAACATGTTTCAATCTTGGTAGCTGTAAAAAATGAATTAAAAGTAATGTTATGTACAGGGCCGTCGCTAGAGGAAGGTTCTTGTGATTTCAACCGATGGTTTTCATATTAACTCTAGTGTTTTAAACAAGAAATGTTCAATACCTGCTTCTCTCTGCCTTTGATAGTCTTCTTTCACCCTATAGCCTTTGTATTTGGCCTGGATCCTTGTGGCTGTAACAAAAGAGATTTGAGATATCAACCAGTCAGGTCAAAGCTGGCATTGCAAGAATCATTACTAGACCTTCAGGGGATCCCAGCCTTCTTTTGTCAGATATTACTGGTGCCTTACCCAGTTCATGCTTGCAGACCTCAAATGCATCCTCAGTGGCAAAAAGAGTCCTTGGATGGCGAATAAAGATTTTTGTCCTTGAGAAATTAGAGGGAAAAAATATTTTATAAAACATGGACATTTTATAGGTAATGGATATTTCCTGGTCCTAGAAGAACAACACAGTCTCATTGCAGTAGCCTGGTACAGTTTGTACCTTCCCATCTTGTACTCGTTTGGTTTGTAGCCAAGGTGTTTGATGAGTTGCTGCACTCCCTCTGCTGGTGTCCCATTCCAGTGTGGCCATGTGTCAGGACATAGAGCCTTATATCTGCAATGATCGTGTTTGCAGGTGAGAAAAAGTGAGAACAAGCACCTGATACAAAAGATGTGTGCAAGTTACATTGTTGGAAACACACACACAACGCAAATGCACCTTTTTAGGAAGACTTCGTATCTTCTCCTATAAGCAAACCCAGCACGTCTGACTCTCAGGTGCTCCATTAACCCCAGGTACTTGACTTGATGTCTCACCATGACATCATCAAAGTGATCTGAGGTTAGGCGAGTCAGAGAGAGGTCACGGGCACCGTCTAGTAAAACATTCAGCAGACAAAACCACTAACAAGAGGTGTGAAGTGAAAGGCTCACCTGGCTGCTTGCAGTGGTTGGGTTTCAGGCACCGCACATACCATGGTTCTTTGGTCATGAGGATTTCAGTGAGGCCTGCAAGGCTGCTCTTAAACTGGGTGGCTACCTGTTCACAAAAACAGGTCAACAAGGTATGTTTGATTCCAGTACATTAAAGAGCTGCCACTGCTTAAATAAAGGTAAAGTTGGAAATAATATCATGAGTGGCTCTCAGGTTTTCAATCTGCTATGTTAACTAAAATCGTATAGTCAAACAATCTGTAAATTTGTTTCTTATTGCCAGAAAATGAACACAAGAAAAACATTTTAAATATATAGCTCAGGCTGTTATAATTATTTGTTTTTAAGTTATCTATTTAAACATCTGTCACTGTACCGTCTCAGGTCTTTTCTTGCCGTCAGGTTCAATAGCATGGAAGCAATGCTGGATAATACTGTTCTTAGACTGTCGCATGACCTTAAACAATAACAAATAACTTTTATCTGTATGACTATTTCATAGTCATTATTTTTTTTTAAAGATGACCAATAGAGAATACATGCTGTGGGGAAACCTCTTACCTCTTTAATGTTCCTGTACAGAAGATCATTATTTTTGTCAATAAATCCTGACAAAACAAAAAGTTCAAGATCAATAAATGTTTTAAGATAAAAACACTTAAAACAGTTTGCACTGAGTATCTTACCAACAACTGAGTAAGTAACTTCTCCAGCATAGTGTAGGAGTCGAAAATCCCCTCGTTCCAAGGTCTTGCGGGTTTTCTGGTCAGCCAATTTGTGCCTGAGATTTAGAGACAATGAACTGGATTCATAAATGAATACAGTACCTTACAATAAATACAATACCTTTGCAGCAGTACAAATTCTACTGTACCATGGCACTTCAATTATACTTTGCATGTGAAGGTTTTAGCTGTTCAGCTATATCACCCTTACAAGTTATATTACATGGCAGATACAGATACAAAATTCAACAATTCAAGTCACCTTTATAAAGACCAAAAACATGTTTCACAGAAGTTAATGCTACAATATTTGCATTTTAGTAGTCCTTCACCCTTAGTAGTCTTTCACCCAATCAATGCCCATGAGTCAATCTAGTATGGCCTAGAGAACACCTTGTATACACAACTTGGTCATGTCTATATTAAAAGGGTTGATGCATATTTTCCCACCACGGGAGAAGGTTTTAGCTAAGGCCATTGACTGTTATATCAATATAAAAGCAAGCGATCTACATTCAGGATTTACACAATTAGCTATTATTATTTTTTAAGGATATAATTTAATGCAAGGGTGTCTAATCCTACTCCTGGAAGACTGCCGTCCTACAGAGTTTGGCTCCAACACCTGCTTGGAAGTTTCTAGTGATCCTGAAGACCTTGATTAGCTGCTTCAGTTGTGTTTAATTAGGGCTAGAGCTAAACTCTGGAAGGTGGCCCTCCAGGAACAGGATTGGACATCCCTGTTTTAATGCCTACAGAAGAGTCATAAAATTAATAAAATCATCCAAGTACTATGATAGCACATAAATACTGGTGTTATGTCCGTTTAAAAAGAATTTAAAATGTTTACCCACGTGACAAAATGAGGGTGACCGCACATCTTCTCCTCTAGCTTCTCCAGGAATGTAAAATCTGTGGCTTCTCCAGGACGCAGACATTCTTCATCCTTTAATGCGGGATACATGACATAAAGACTGTGACTTGGGGTGTGTTCACACTTGGCAGGTTTGATTCGATTAAAAGAAACTAAGTGTGTGTAAGTGTGAACGCTGCCATCCAAACCCTGGTGCGCACCAAACAAGCTGACCGAGACCCCTGAAAAAAGGTCCAAATGAACTCTAGTGCAGTTTGACAGAAATATGAACGCAGCTACGGGTGCTTTCATACTAGCACTTTTGGTGTGCACCTGGGTTCTATTGACGTCAGAGTTTGGTTCCTTTGGATGATGTGAACGCTGGTGCGCACACACGAACCATACCCGAGTACGTATAAAAAGGGTGGTCTACGCCTAGGGTATGGTTCATGTGAACTCTGGTACGGTTCACTGCTGATTGTGAATGCAATCGTACTAAATTGTTGAAAGTAAACTGCTATTGATGACGTATGATTCGATAAAGCTCTGGCTGCGTTCGAAATCACATACTCTCTTGAGTAGGTACTTATTTTCAATAAGTAATTACTTCACGACCACTAAAAAGGCACGTTGTGTGTATAGTATGAAGGTGTGTGTAGTATGAATGTCCGGACGTACTACATTCACCATCCACCATTATCATGTGACCTATCAGCATCAGTTACGTCGCTTCACTGGCACTGCCATTCACAAATCCTCTCCCGTGGCCTCATGGGAAAAACTTTGTGAGAAATCAACCAACCAACAAACGATACAATAAATACAAACATTTGCTAAAATTCAACTTTGAAAAAAGACAACAATTTTCTCTATAAACGACTTTTTAAATTTACTTGTGATAAAATATATACTTTTTTTAACGTTTTTCTGGGTCCATCAAGAGCTTCAAAGTTTGTCCTGATAAACAATTGTTGCCTCCTGACATTAAAAATTAAAACTTGGACGTATGATTCGATAATGCGCACCATGTTGGGTGTATAGTATGCAAGTGTGTGTAGTATCAGGATCAGTTACGTCGCTTTACTGCCATTCACAAATCCTCTCCCGTGGCCTCATGGGATAGTAAAGTGTCCATCGTATGCAAACTTCAGAATCTCGGCAGAAGTAGTAGGTCATCCCGGTACTTTTTGCCTACTCTTTTATGTGTACTGTGAATTCGGACATACTTCTTTTGTCACATACTGTTTTTCATCTACTATATAGTAGGGAGGAATGCAATTTCGGATGCAGCCTGTGTTTGTGTGTGTTCTCCCTCACTTTCCTGCGTGACTAATGCACTGCAAGCAGAGAGAATTGTCTAATTTCTGCTCGCCTTCAGCAGAAATGGACTCCCGCGTTCTTTAGAACATTTGCAGTACGGCAGATAGACACAAGTGCCGTTATGTGCTGACGCTTTGAAAACCAAAATATAAAAGTGAGGTGAGCAACGCTGTGCATTTTCCTGCCTTCAATCGGACCAGACAATTGAACTAAGCGTGAAAGCACCCTTAATCATGTAATGTATGTCAACTTGAATCCATTCTACGTACCAGTACTGATATGATGCCTCTATGTTTCTCCTCCACCAGGTCACAGATGATCTTATTGTTGAAGAATGGCACTGGCTCCCACTAAAATGCCAACATGCGGTAAAAAAGTTTATCAATGAAAATATGGCAAAGCACAGAAAGTGAGGTAGATCTGTGTAACAAAGCATTTACATAACATTACTATGTAGATATCTGAAAAGGCCTTGTTGATTTCAAACTAATGTTGTATGTACTTCACCTCGATTCCCTCCATCTCGTACTCCTCCTGCTCTGATTTGAGGGTGAGCTGGATGAAAAGCTGCTGAAGCTTTTCATTGCAGAAATTTATACAGAACTGTTCAAAACTGAGGAGCAAATCACCAGTAATCATATGCATGGTAAACAACAATCCATCAAAATATTTATCTAGTAGTGAACAAATATAAGACAATTTACATGCAATAGCAATAATCTCATCAGTGCAGCGTGTTTCTACTTTACAGTAATGACACATTTATTTGTGTCTAGAGGGCTTGTTCTGAAACTATATTGATAAGAAGGTTACTAATTGGTTTTAACTAATTAACCCATTTTAAGAGTTTTCTTGAAGGAAATGTGTGATGTGTATGATGGCAATGCTTCAGTGTCACCTGTTCACATCAAACACCTCAAATCCATAGATGTCAAGCAGTCCAATCACCGTCTTTCTGGTTGAATCCTGCATTGATAGAATAAAATAGATTGAACACCTAATAATCTATTGACTAATTCATGTATTATTATATACCACTATTAAAAGCAGAATTTGCATACCTTATTTGCCAAAGATTCATTAATCTTATTAACGAGCCATGAGAATGTGCGGCCATAGATGGCTTTGGCTAGTGCATCCCTGGCATACTTTGCATGTTCAGCCGTGAAAGGGCTTAGAACCTGAAAATGATAGATACTACATAATTATGCATTTCCGAAGTATAGAAACATATCATACTATTCCATCTCTTAAATAACTTTTCAAAATGATTTTAATATTATTTAAAAATAAATGTATTCACCATTTAATACTAATTGTCCAAAACACCTTCATATGGGAATATGAATGTAAAACATACTTTTTATGGAACAGTTAATGTGTCATACAATATATATTTAAAAATTGCATATAGGCTTTAACAAGTACAAGCAATATTGCAGTAAGCAATAGTTATGTAAACATACTAGTATTTGGGTCACATTAAATGTTGTATTTACTTGGCATAAGAAAAAGATCTAAAGTGGATGAGTACTAGAGCATAGACAATACTAATAAGCCAATGTTCAGAATCCTTCTTTCATCACCTCTTCTGCTTTGGCTTCTATCTTCCTGTGAGTTAAACCCTCCTGTAACATGTTTGAGGGGATGCCCAATAACTGGGATGACATGAATAAAGAAGAAATGGGTTGCAACAAAGAAACAAAAGTCAGAGGTCAATATTGCCATTACAGTATAAACTATCCCATTTTGAATGCATAAATATTCCAAAACTTGATATAAGTGACAGATGAACATACCTTTGACAGCCAGTGCACTTCTGCACTGCTGTTTAATGTGGCATAACCCAGAGCACTGGCCTCAAAGTGAACATTCCCGAGATGAAGGACACTGGCAATGATCGCAAACAGATGCTAAAAGAAGACCAAAAGTATTAAACAATTACCTCTCTTTCTAAAAATCAGCCTTCTACACTGACCCAGTGACCCACCGGACAAAAACTCAAATCAACATGCTCGAACTCTCACTCTGAGAGCATCTTACCTCTATATCTTTTTCACTAAACTTAACGATAGTAAGAGCCTTCTGTACAGTTTTCCAGTCACTCTTGTCATTAATGGAGCTCACTTTGGCACATTCTCCCTGTCCAGAAAATAGATTTTGAACAATAAAATAAATATACTTTGTTTATGGCTCTGATAAGTCTATGCATCATCAATTAAAATAAAAAAAAGTAAAGTAATATCTGTGTTTCTTACCTGAATAAGATAGCGGTAGTTCTGACAGTTTCGCTCCAAACCAAGCCAGCGAAGAAGCTCATCCTCCCCTCCCTCAACTAACTGATAGAAGATGTGGAAGTTCCTCTCTCCATGATTTTGGTGGACCACCCTTGACTTTTCCAGTAAGTAGCTTAAGATGTGGCCACCGACAGCTGCTCCCTAAAAGAATGAGCAAGTATTTATATTTGTAAGGAATGCTTTTCTGCTATTCTGCTTCTGTCCGAATAGGACTTTACCCGATGGTCAAACTGTATGTCCATATACTTTCCAAATCGACTCGAGTTGTCATTTTTCAGGGTTTTGGCGTTTCCAAAAGCCTGTAGAGATAAAGCCCTCAGCATTAATACTTCACATTGTGCTACACTTTGAGCATGCACACTGTCCAATGTTTTCAACTGATCATTTTAGACAAAGGTTCTGACCTCCAGCACCGGATTGGAAAGAAGGAGCCGATCTCTCACGTTGTCCAGGAGTCTAGTGCTGGGACAGCTTACTGCATAGAACTGCAGGACTTTCTTAGAGGCCTCTGTCTTACCCGAACCACTCTCACCAGAGATGAGGATGAAGTGGTTGTTGGTTTCACTAACCATTGTCCGGTACACGTTATCAGCAAGAGCAAATCTGAGAGGTCAGAAAAACTACATTTAAAACAATGATCTTCAAAGAAGAATATAAGTAAGAAAACATAAGAAAGTAAAGTTTAAGAACAAACAGTAAATGTGTATATACACTGCCATTCAAAAGTTTGGGGTCGGTAAGATTTTTAAATGTTTCTAAAAAAAGGTCTCTTGTTATCATCAAGGCTCCATTTATTTGATCAAAAGTTGTAAAAACTGTTATATTGTGATATATTTTTAAAGTTTGAAACAACTGTTTTAATACATTTTAAAATGCAATTTATTCCTGTGATGGCGAAGCTGAATTTTCAGCAGTCGTTACTTCAGTGTCACATGATCCAACAGAAATCATTCTAATATGTTGATTTTCTGTAAGAATTTCTTATTATCAATTTTTTTCAGGATTCTTTGATGAATATTTATTTTAAAATAATTAATAATCATTTTAAATGATAAATACTAAGAATATTTTTTTGTAAAAATGTAAAAGTATTTACTGTCACTTTTGATCTATTTAATGTATCCCTGAGGAATAAAAGTATTAATTTGTATATATTGTATATAATGTATTTTTCCTGTGTATATATGCAAACTCACATATGAGGAGGCAGCTCAAAAAAGTTGACTCCCATATAAATGTCCATTTGTTTCTTGGTATAGATACCCAAGTCCTTATATGGATTTACTGACACTAGGAGGGTCCCGATGTAGGTCTAAGTAAGAAAAACAAAGACATTTAAGAAAAAATGTCCAGTCCTTTGCCTCAAAAGAGTATTGAGTTATGATCCGAGTTCAATAAAACATTTTAAAAATATGTTGTCAACTTTTAAAAAGTTTGATTGGAACAATCTACCAAAAAATATAAACTCACAGGTTAAAGAAGGATCATAATGAAATATAACTGTCTCAGCAGTTTCGTATAGGAGGTTTATCTTTGTAAAGTGCCCTTGATAACCTTCTCCATGCTGAATCATCAGCAAAGTGAGTTTCCAGTTCTTGCGACAAGGCAAATGAGATGTATAGAGAACATTTTCACTTTGTAGGATACCTGCTGTGTGCAGTGACCTATGTTCAGCATGAGAGTCCACATTATTCTCTACCCCATCTCAATAATGAAAGTAACAGTGATACTGGATATTGCATTGCCGGCCTTTATCCCAGTCTATTCTCAGAAGTCACATGAGTGGGTGCAGGACTCACATATATAAGGTTTTCGTTGAACCGTTTTCTAAGGTTGTCCATAAATGCAGTCTCACTGGTGTAGGCGTCCAGGAGAACAAAGTCCTGAATGCCCACCCGGTCCCGAGCCGTCAAACACCCCTCCATCTCCTGTAGGATCCGCTGGCAGCGCTCCTCTAAACTCTGTTAATCACAGACAAGAAAAATAAAGGAACAGGTGTCGATCAGCGATTCCAATAAAAGGTAGATGTGTTTTTACACATGTGTACATTCTTATTTCAAGGAGAAGATTAAACTGCACAATAATAAACCGATTTTTAATTTTTACTTTTTATTTTTATGTCACAAATATTCATGATTTTTCCTGTTTGATTTACCATTATGAACTGTTGTTTTCACCTTGTTTTCAGGCTGTAAGTTCACTACAAGTTTGTGCAGCAACAGCATTAGAAGTTGCTTGAAATAAGTGTTTTGTACTTAAAAATGATCTTTAAAACACTTATTTATTTGACTTATTCAAGATCATCACTAAATAAAAATAAAAAAAATCTTAATGGTGATTATTTAACAATAGTCTCTCACAGATGTACACAAATGACCAACATCACTGACTTTCCTTCACTCTGACTTTATTATATCACTCTACATAGGGTAATATATCATTTTGGATGTGGCCTTGAACAAATCCTGTCAACAATATGACATGAACCGTCTGAGCCCAGCCTTACTTATCTAATCTAAAATGTTTTTTCTGCACAGTCCATCATAAGGAACATTCATCAATCAGCACTGATAACGGCAGGGTCTACCTTGGTCTTTTGACAAACAGGAAGGATATCTTTTTGTGTGTTGATAAAGTCCTATGTCCTCTAAAAAAGTTATTTTAAAAAAAATCTTAAAAATAAATAAACTCGTTCGTGACATAGATTTGACAAGGTGCTGGTAACATCTTTGGTCCATATTGACATATTGGCAGATTTGTCAGCTACACATCCATGATGCAAATCTCCCATTCCACCACATCCCAAAAGTGCTCTATTGGGTTGAGATCTGGTGACTGTGGAGGCCATTTGAGTGTAGTGAACTCATTGTCATGTTAAAGAAAATAGTTTTGAGATGATTGGAGCTTTGTCATGGGGCGTTATCCTGCTGAAAGTAGCCACAGAAGATGGGTACACTGTGGTCATAAAGGGATGGACATGGACAAAAATACTCAGGCTGTGGCTTTAAACAATGCTAAATTGGTACTAAGGGACCCAAAATGTCCCGAGAACACCATTACACCAGCAGCAGCAGCCTGAACAGTTGGATCTTTACGCCAAATTCTGACCCTATCATCTGAACGTCGCAGCGAAATCAAGACTCATCAAACCAGGCAACATTTTTCCAATCTTCTATTATCTCATTTTGGCGAGTCCGTGCAAATTGTAGCCCGTTCTTAGCTGACAGGAGTGGCACCCGGTGTGTTCTTCTGCTACCGTATATCTGCTTCAAGGTTCGGCATGTTGTGTATTCAGAGATGCTCTTCTGCAGACCTTGGTTGTAACGAATGGTTATTCGAGTTACTGTTCCCTCTCTATCAGCTTGAATTAGTCTGGCCATTCTCTGGCATCAAAAAGGCAGTTTTGCCCCCAGAACTGCCGCTCACTGGATATTTTCTCTTTTTTTGACCATTCTCTGTAAAACCCTAGAGATGGTTGTGCGTGAAAATCCCAGTAGACCAGCAGTTTCTGAAATACTCAGACCAGCCCGTCTGGCAGCAACAATCATGCCACGCTCTAAGTCACTTAAATCTCCTTTCTTCCCCATTCTGATGCTCAAATTGAGCTTCAGCAGATCACCTTGATCATATACATGCCTAAATGTGTACACATGTTTACAGTGTACAAATATAGCAAAAATTCACTATATATTCAAAGGCTAAATAATTTATGTTTTGTTAAAGAAAAACACTAGCTGATACTAAATTGTATTTGTTGCAACAGTGTGATTATTGATATGACATACTATTGATATACATACTATTAGTAGTAGTCATAGGCTACTACTCCTAAAAACTGTTATATAAAAAAAATATTAACTGAGCGAATTTACATGGTTTATTTTCAGAGAGACATATCACAGTCAGCTGTATTTTAGCCCAGCTGCACTGACATGCCCTGCTCAGGATTCACTTCAGGAATACATTTAAATCTACATTTGCGTAATAATTTGCATAAATCTTTTTTTTTTTTTTTGTTTCTCTCATATTACAGGCCTATCTTAGACCTTAAAAAAAATATTTTGAAAATATATTTAAAGAATGCACATTTAAAAGATAGTTAAAAGTAAAGTAAAAGTGGGATCCCTTACCTTCAGTGCAGTGATTGTTTCTGTGTAATGATGTGGGAACTGTGTGATCTTATCAGTTTTGTAAAGAGCATCTGTGATTATTTCAAGTACAACAGGAAACAATGTCATATCACACTCACCACTTCACCATGGGAAGTCATTAATAAAAAGTTTGCTAAGGAAACGGGGGTCTGCGGTGTATGTGTGTGTCAAGAAACATCTGTCTAAAACAGAAAAAGTTATGGATTTATTGTCTTGCATCCTGAAAAAGCTCTGCTCGGCATAGGTGTGTCCTATCTTGGTTCCTTTAAACCCGAGGCAAATCTATTTCTATCAGAGATTACACGGTTTCTCTCCGTTCCTGTCATGGGATGGAATTTAGGCCAAGGTCACAGGCTTACAAAGAATAAATGAACCATTCCTGTCTGGGTGCTACTGATGCTTGATTTACCTCTAAGAACAGATGAGACACACTCTCTCTCTACTCTCTCTCTCTCTCTCTCTCTCTCTCTCTCTCTCTCCTCTCTCTCTTCTCTCTCTCTCTCTCCTCTCTCCTCTCTCACTCTCTCTCTCTCTCCTCTCCTCTCTCTCTTCTCTCTCTCTCTCTCTCTCTCTTCTCTCTTCTCTCTCTCTCTCTCTCTCTCTCTCTCTCTCTCTCTCTCTCTCTCTCTCTCTCTCTCTTCTCTCTCCTCTCTCTCTCTCTCTCCTCCTCTCTCTCTCTCTCTCTCTCTCTCTCTCTCTCTCTCTCTTCTCTCTCTCTCTCTCTCGTATCATATTTGAAGAAGTCCAGTTGAAACCACAAGATGTGCACAATAAGTTACAAGTTTAATTTTCTAAACTGTCCAGGGAATATTAAAACAGTTTTGGATAACATTAGTAAAATAAAATGTTACACTTTTTCGATCGTCCACATAGACATACTATAAGTTACTTTGCAACTACATGTCAACTAACTCAGAGTATAGACTGTTGGCTTAGAGTCAAAGAATAAGTTGTATGTATACTTGCAAAGTTACTTATAGTCAGTATATGATGTCTGTTGGGGGAGCATCAAAATCAAATGTTAGCAGATATTAAGCAGACAGTCTAATACTCTAATGACTGGAAGTTGACATAGTTGCAAAATGACTTATAGTTAGTAAAATGTCTGAAGTGGACTATTGAAATAAAGTGTTATCAAATAAAAATAGCTAAGTAAGCTGCAGTCTATTGTACCACAAAAGCAAAAGTGCAGACAGAGACTAGGAAATGTTCTGAAAGATAAAGCTGGCATCACATTTGAGTTCTGTCTATAAGCTGGCAAAGAGCACTCAAACTAGAGCCAAGAGGGGATGCCAAGATTCTGGCAGTCTGTCAGTGTTCCTCTCTCATTACACACAGCATGTTATGTATTGCATCTGTTTAGAAGACAATCATCATCTTAGCTTTAAACTCGTTGTTTTAAACTTTTCTTTCTTGGTACCAATAACCAACTGAAAGACTTTTTGTTTTACTATAAAATTAGGTTGCAACGTGAATATTTAGATATGCATATAAATGATACAATATGATATATATCATGATGATTTATTATAATAATATACATGATTATACTATAGTGTATATCTGGTGTATACACATTTGTTTTATTACCATTGGGTAGTTTGAGCTTGCTGATATTTTCCTCCTGTAATTACACAACTGATCAGGTCTTAAAGTCCCCCTGTGGTGAAAATCAAGTTTCTAATGTTGTTTTATATGTCAATGTGGTGTTTTAATATGCTTTAAGACAAACCATGTGCAAATTCATAAGTCAACACCATTGCTGTGTATTTTCTCCTTAAAACCAAAGACATTCTCAAAAACACGGTTTGAAATCATTGGTGTTTCTGACGTCACAAACTACATTGTAACCTATCACGTCAATGAGTGGATCTCTGAGCTTGTGTGAGTGAGTGGAGGCAGGGCTAATTATCATATTCATAGAACCACGTATACTAAATGAGGAAAGGGTGTGGAGTTACATTCAAGCTATTTTAAGGCATGAAGATTTTTTTCCAAAGAAAAACATTTAAATATGTAATTTTTATGATCAAAGGTGAGTTTTAAGGGATACAATTATTGACTACAAGGGGACTTTCCGTGAGGACTTAGATTTCCACTTTGGTGTCAATGTTATTAGATACATCTTGTTGTATTTCCGAGTGAGTTATTGAGACATTAAAGCTGATTTTGAGGGAGAAGGAAAGTCTATCTGGCTAACTGACCATCATCTGAGAGGCCACGCTATTGTCCCAAAACTTTAGTATGTCACAGGATCCTGTGGATCCTACTCAGCTCACAATATGGCTTGAGACTTCGGAAAAAGCTAGAGCTAATCATTGGTCACTGACCCACATTCTTCTGTAAAAGTCAATAAACAAAGTCTTGACAAATATTTGCAGCTAAATGTCTGATTTTACCTTTTTGAACCTATTTACACCATTTACATGGATTTCTCTGTTTCTATTTTTAGTATATATATATATATACATATATTAAGTATGAGAGAGAACTCAAACCCAAATAATACCCCCAAATAATAACATTCTCACTGTCGTTTGCAGTCACATTTGCATTAAATATTAAAACAAGTCTCAAATGTAAAAAAAAAAATTACACAGAGGAACTTATAGAGCAAAAATTATTTAGTACTTTTTGTCAGTTTGTGTATTATTAATTTAGCATTCAAAACAAATATGCTTGTAATATGATAATTTTCAGTCACAATCTTGAGACAAACATTTATACTCTAAATAGACACAATACTAATTAATCTTAGGCCAAATTAAAAAATGGCACAGTCAATAAGGATCTGAAATATTCCTGAATTA